AGTTGACTGACGAATGAATCAGGTCAATGATATCCTGCGTTAGTTACTATTCGTGATTAGATGTTTCTTCCTCATTTGCACAAGGCTACTTGTGCGTGGAATTTCGCATTTATTTCATTTTTCTGGCGTTCAAAGACGCCTACAGTCTTCAAATTTATATACTCCGATGGCTTATTTGACAGACTTTTAATGCTTTGGTTACAATACATGTATTCATTCACATCGTCTGAACGTTTCCTCCGAGGGTGAAAACCTGACACCGAAAGAGATAGAATCGCAGAGCCCCGCGCAGTAAGTACACACGATAGCCCTACACCATACAGGTNATGTTCCTTACTGGACAGTTGTCTTTAAATATGAATACTGCTGGTTAACACCACCCTCCGACATTACGTTCCGATTTGCCTACAGCTATTACATTTTATCTAAATCTATCGTACTTTTCGTCCCTATTTTTTTTAATTCTGAAACAGAAGTGCATTGTAAACCTTTTCCACACCCTACCACAACCGTTCTCAATTTGAATTTCGCTGCTACGCTACTGTTATGCCTCGCTGTCTGTCGGGTAAACCATGTTTCTACTACTGCTGTCGCGAACTGTTACCGCTCACTTGTAATTCGGTTGCTCACCTAGCTGTAAGTTCCAATTCTTGGTTTATTATTACTGTATGATTCTAAAAGCATGATTCATATCGCTTGTCGATAAACACTGATACTTTACTGGACTTTGTTCTTCTGCCCGTAGCCGAGTTGTCCATTTCGTGCGTATAGCTATCCAGACTAAGTTACCGAAGAATTCCAACCTGCTGAGGCGTGACAACAAATCCTGTAATACAGAAAATCTTGTACGACCTGTGGAGACAGCGATAACACCAAGTGTTATACACCGATAAGGAAAGTTCTGACTTCACTCAAGGTGCTCAGATGGAAACAATAAAAAAATACAGCGATCTGGGAGGATGAGAACAGATAAAATTAAAGACCAAGATTCAACCTCTTTATGAGAACGGATGGCGGTTACATAAAATACAACAGCATTTCAGTTTGCACAGCTGTGGTAACTCCAATTCTTGGATGTACGAGGCAAAGAGTTTCTGATTTTCGCAGCCTGATTCGGTTGCTTGTGAATGAACAGGTGTATACTAACATTCTAACGACAAAAAGGCTGGTTAAATTGTACTGGCCTGATAACGTGTTAAGTGCAATCGAAAGGCTCACGCTAAATTAGGTCTTCGTTGCAGGATTAGATACAAATTTCTATTTAAATTCATCATCCGATAGGATCACTCGGCGAACAATTTTTGTGGTAACAGGCAACAGACGGAAGACGACTGAAGGTACGCAAACTGAAATCTGGTACGAGGGTATGAAAACTGTGAACAGAGAGGTTGGACACAGTTCGGGTAAGGTTTTTCTGTTGGAGACAGTAAATCAGATGGCACTGTAAACAGTGGTGCTCGTATATCCCCTTAATTTCTTCGAACAATTAGTTTAAGTGTACGGTGTATATTTAGCCTGGTTCAAATTCCAGCTGTGTGGTTCTCTACTACAACAGGGTGATCGAAACCGTCGCTTTAAAAGACAGAGTACACAGTGGCAGAAAGTCAGCTGAGCTCAAAGTGGAAGTGGAATTGTTGCACAGCACTTCACCGAATGTCTGGAGTACTACAACGAAAACTGCTCAAACCTTTCGTGAACAGTGTGTATACTTATAATGAAACGAGATGGATCGTTGACGCCTCTCCATACATACATTGATTGGTAGCCATAAACTAATCCACATCACTTATTGCTAATGAGTCGTAATTTGAGTTTGAAAGTAAAAATGTATCTGTAATGATAAATACCACTTCCTTGTACGCACACCTAGTAAAAAAAGACTGCGTTTTGAAACACTGTCCAGAAAAGATGTCGAACAAACCAAGTAGCCGTTCTAATGATTTGAGCACAAAGAAAAAAAGTATAATCCTGTAACACCAACGAACTCACGCAAGAAGCCACCATCGAAATCATTGTCGTCGATTCCAATATCGTCTGGCCTGGCTGCAAGATCAGCGGATTTCGGGTGCTTATCCGCATCGCGTAGTCCGTCCACGTGATCGCCGGCTATCAGTGTTCCATCCATATCTTGATCGGAACGCAGACTGAAGTCTGTTCCGGCTCGGACAGATAACTGGCCACTAGCTCGGTACATTCCGTCAGAAAACGTTTTATCACCCTCTCGAAGCACTTCCCGGCTAGAAGCTTCGTCAAACGCGGAATCACCAAAATCATCATCTTGCCGACCCAAATTAATCTCTCCAAAATCTTCACGCATCGTGATATCCTC